CAAGCCTTTTAAACCCCTAGGTTACCCCTAATGGATGAGTGAAGTCTCGTGAGGGCTTCCAGGGGCTTCCAGAAATGTTACCCACAAACATTAAGCTCATTCTTTCAAAAGAGGCGCCAATATTGCAAACAAGTCTCGGGAGAAAACTACCTCAAGTATGCAATTTTTCAACCATTTCTAAGCAATCTCCTAAAATTTCAACATCAAGCAAGCAAGTATGGTCCTCCACACATCAAGAAAATGATCATGCAAATCAAAACAACTCTAGAATCCTTTTTGAGTGGACCGGCTTCAAATGTGTTGCTATTTAAGCCAACTAAAGAATTAATCACATCATTACCCTCAAACTAGCACACAAATCTAGTACAGATCATCAAGACAAAATGTGGACCTTTTATTAAAACTTTATTATTCTAGGTGCGCTTATTCTTTTCACTCATTCAATTATTATTATTTTTTTTTTTGAGGATCAAAGATGGAAGTATAGTGCAATGTGTTGATCTATTAAGCTTTCTAGCGATTCATGAGATCGAGCGTTAGGTCAAAGACTCCTAAACCAGACGATTTTAGGGCACTAGGTGTTCAAACACCCCTACGGACTTACAAGCTCAAATCAACTAGGCTACAAATCAAGACAACCTCCATCTAATCATTTCCCACTTCTCACCTTTTTGAGAGAGTCCTCACCTTTTTTATTGCTTTTGCAACTTCTTTTTTTTTTTTTCAAGTTCAATTATTAACCTAGAGTTTGGGCCCTCTACCTTTCGGTGCGAGAAGTTCAGTGCTTGATGAGGCTAGAATCCTGGCTACTTAGTGAAAAAGGGTTGTTATCTACCTTTATCAAGAATGAAAGCTTTCAATGCACTACTAGCCCAATTGGGATATAACCAATTCAATAATTAACAAAGCATATACCCCACAAATGAATGCTAGTCTGCGCCGGTGCTAGTGTAGAAGACTAGAGTGAATCTCAAAACAATCACAAAATCAGGATGATGTGGACAACAAATGCAAGCAAGATATCAATCTTTCAAAAAATTTACTCCTAAATGGCTTCCACAAGGCATACAAGGAGTATTGGCCTCTTAAGTCAAGCAATTTTTAAATTTTAAGCAATATAGTCCTCAAAAGATCAAAATCATAACTAGATATGGACCAATCATAGAAATATTCCTCAAGTACACAAGTCATGCTAAAAATTTGAATTTAAAACTAACACTGTAGAGCACCATTCCCCCCAAACTTAAATTGCACAATGTCCTCAATGTGCAAAGAGAACAAAGGAAAGAGTATACCAGTGCAATTAAGCAAGAATGATCGGGACTGAAGTATCCGAAGTGGGTGGCATGGCCCCCCCCCCCCCCCCCCCCAAACTTGGGATGAACTGTGGTCCTGAAAATTGGCACTTGGATAAACTTATCAGATAACAAAATGGGATAATCAGTGCATAGTGGTCATGCAAGTGTAAATGGGATAAACAGCTAATGAAATGAGAGAGGTATAAGGGTGGTCCTAGAAATTGGGTAGCACTCTCTCACTGAAGTCACTGTGATGCACCTGATGGAGTCAAACATACAGATATGAGAATACAATCATATGACATCCATAGCAAAAATAGATATATAATAGAAAAAGTGTATGTACAACAAAAATATCAAAGCTGACAGACCGGCTGTAAAAATAATACAGTGACAATAATAAAGTATCAAAAGAAGAGAGGGATCATAAGATAGAAAGGACTGGGAGATCAGGAAGATGAGGTAGGACGGGCAGGTCTGGCTCCGCGGATGTCTCTGGATAAATCTCTGAACATGGTCGCGACATCCGTACGGAAGGTAGCAAACTCAGCTCTTTGGGCTGTGAGGTCAGCTCGGATGGTAACAACAGCATCCTCGAGCATCTGCAGATGTACTCCAAAGCCGGGGGTCATATCTGGAGTCTCAGGTATAGATGAATCAGAAGAAAGCTCCTGAGTTTGCTCCTGCTCATGAATGGGCGACCTGGCTAGAGAGTCTTGCTCTACACCGTTTGCAGGGCGCTCTAAGTCGATGTCTAAATGCTCGGCAGCTGGATCAACTGGTGCATCGTCTGTTGCGGGATGTGCTGCTGCTGCCTCTGCCGGTGCCTCTGCCTGGGCCTGTGCTGCCGCCTCCTCCTCTAACTCCAGCTCTGCAGCCGCCAGTATGGCATGGACCTGCAGGCGAGTGATAATAGCTCTGTAGCTCTTGTCCCAATCCTTCTTGAGGAAGTGACAGGAACCTCTCTCGGGGTGCTCCTGCGGGTGGATGGGATAGCGCTGGTCAATGAGAATCTGGGTGATGAGGTGGCTGAATGGAAGAGACTTGGCCCTTCCGGGCGCTTCCTTGCTGACGTACTTATCGTAGAGCTTCCTCATCACGCTCCAGATAAGTGTAGGAATAAACTCCCAATGGCCGGTATAGAAGGCGTACAGGGCTGCTAGATAGTGGCCCCGCCTCTGAATCTTGTGTCCTGCCATGTATATGTTTTGGTAGAACACCGAATCTATAAACCACAGGTCATCCAGCAAGAATGTCCGGGTGGCGAAGGTTTCACCACTGGCATGGTGACCTGTGAGAAAAATTGCCATATCAGCATAAGAAGGCATATGGAACCTGGGATATGTATCCTGTAGCTCGAGCAGGCACATATGTGGACAGCGAGTCGAACGGGCCAGAGTATCCACTGTAATGGTGATCTCATGGCCATCGATAGAGGTGATGAGCTCGGCTGTAGTGCGCGGTGACAGTCGGAGGTTCTGGTAGAACAACCGTACCAGTCACGGGTAGATCGGATCTGTGATTGGGGCAAGAATAGTTGAGAGGCCCCGCTGAATGATGTCCTGATAGCTGAAATGCACAATATATCTAAGCTATGAAGCATATATTGTCTAAACAACATGTGAAAGGCACAATAAATCAAAACAAGTCATTAATCCTTTCATTAAGCTCACAATCCAAATACAATACAAGGATAGAGACATATGCTAATTGCATTTAAAAGCTTGGATCATCAAACAACAAGCATAGATTGTCCTCCCATTTAGCACTACACTACAACTACACTACATCTACACTACTAGCATGAAAATAAACTAGGGGAGAGGCACAATCCATCAAGAGATAAGCATGAACCATCAAGAGAATCACAAAAGCATTCTTTTAAGCACAATGTTTTGACAATCTCTAAATCTATAGCATCAATACACATAGATATACATCAATAACACAAAATCTAGAGATAAGCACATGAACATCTATTCTAGCATACATAGACATATGGATAGAATGAAATGACCAATTGGAAGCATTAAACCACATAAATCATTGAATAAACAAGATCTATATATTTATCAAAGTGTCAAAACATCAATTACAACACTAATCCCTCAATAATACACAAGATTAAGATATAGAAAGCATGCTTGGGGCTAACTCTAGCCCCAAGAGGATGTCTAGCCACTCATGGTGATGATGCTTCAACCCTCAAGGGCTAATTCCATGGTTAAAATCTGCTCCTTGTTGATGAAAAGTCTCCAATGGTGTCTCTAGCCTCCTCCTCCTCCAAACTTCCTCTCCAAGAGATGATATCAAAATTAAATTGGCTCTTCCTTAAAAAAGCAATCCTTATCCTTATATAGGTAGTTCAAAATAACACCCAAAAATGAGCCGGGGTCGTGCACACAATATTCCCTAATGATTGGATAAAGGACAACTTTCAATGAGAAAGAATTTTAACTTTTTCGCACTGGAAGAAGTTCGATCGATCGAACCTTGAACTTGGATCGACCGAAAGTAAGTGAGATCGATCGAACTTAGGCTGGATCGATCCAACTGGCTGAGCTTTTTGGAAAAAGACAAATTTGAGATATTTATGGGAGATATTTATGGGAAAAAGACAAAAGTGGTTGGTGGGTGGTACAGCTGTGGATAGGATCTATCATTTGAATAAGGACAAAAGTGTTCGATCGATCGAAGGATGGTATTGGATCGATTGAACTTTTGGAACTTTATGCTTTTGGGTCAAGGCTTGGATTTATCTTAAAGTGCTGAGATCGATCATTGTTCGATCGATCGAACCTTGAACTTGGATCGATCGAACTTTGCTGCTTGCCACCTTTGGCTTCATTTGCTTCATTCTTTCTCCACTTTACTCCTTTCTTTGATTAATCCCAGAATTGCTTCAATTAAGATCTTATTTGGCTGAGTTAGCTTATTTTCGGATAAGTGCCTAAAAAAGTAAATAATACGAAATCAATTTAAAACGGTAAAGTAAGATAGATAAAGGTACTAGAATGTCTAAGCTTAAGGGGTTTAAATACGCACTTTTCAGTGTTCATCAACCATGCTACATTTTCTCCCGTTTCTACAAAGGATTCCCTTCGTATTATCATAGCATTGGTAGCTCATTTTGATTTAGGGTTACATCAAATGGATTTGAAAATGACATTTCTTAATGGGGACTTGAATGAGGAGGTATACATGAAACAACCTGAAGGTTTTTATTCAGATAAAGAAAACAAATTGGTTTACAAACTCAAGAAATTCATATATAGGTTGAAACAAGCCTCACGTCAGTGGTATTACAAATTTCATGATGTTATCTCTTTTTTTGGGTTTAAAAAAAACATCGTTGATCAATGTATATACCTTAAGGTTAGTGGAAGTAAGTTCATTCCTTTGATCCTATATGTGAATGATATTTTGCTTGCCAGTAGTGATTCAGGGTTGCTACATGAAGTTAAAGAGTTTTTCTCTAGAAATTTTGATATTAAAGATATGGGTGAAGCGTCCTATGTCATTGGCATAGAAATTTATAGGGATAGATCACAAGGATTGATTGGATTATCCCAAAAGGCCAATATTAATAAAGTTTTAAAGAGATTTCGAATGTTGGGTTGTGCTTCAAGTGTTGCTCCTATTGTCAAGGGTGACAAATTCAGTCTAAATCAGTGCCCAAGAAATACTTTGTAAAGGGAAGAGATGGAAGTCATTCCTTATGCATCTGCAGTAGGATGTCTAATGTATGTGCAAGTATGCACTAGACCAGACATTGCATTTGCAGTAGGTATGTTAGGCAGATACCAAAGTAATCTAGGAATGGATCATTGGCGAGCTGCAAAGAAAGTGATGCGATATCTACAAGGGACAAAGGAATACATGCTGACATACAAAAGATTAAATCTTTTGGAAGTGGTTGGATATTCTGATTATGATTTTGGAGGATGCATTGACTCTAGAAAGTCAACATCAGGATATGTATTCCTCTTTGTAGGAGGGGCTATCTCGTGGAAAAGCTTAAAACAGAAATCAATCACTTCCTCTACTATGGAGGCGGAATATGTAGCATGTCATGAGGCTACAGGACATGCCTTATGGTTACGGAATTTTATCACGAATCTTAAAGTTGTGGATTCCATCTCTAGGCCATTGAGAATCTATTGTGATAATTCCGTTGCGGTTCGTTTCTGTAACAACAATGCAAGTGGGAGTTCAAATAAGTGGATTGACATGAAGTTCCTTGTTGTTAAAGAAAAAGTTTAGAATCATCAAGTGTTAGTAGATTACATAGGAACAAGGTCAATGGTCATAGATCCTATGCCAAAGGGTTTGTAACCCAAATTGTATAAGGAACATGTAGGACATATGGGACTTATTGATATGTCTTGTGTTTGATTTACTGAAACGCTTTAAAGTTTGCAATTGCATTTATGTTCTAATGATTCTTAGTTTTTTATTTGTCATTTTTAAGGAAGTATACATAAAGTTTATAAATGACAAATTATCCTTTTGGATAATAAAGTAGGACCTTAAAATGGGCTTATGGGAGCTTATTCATACAGATAGTCCATTGGGACAATAAAGTTGACCCCCTTGAATAGTTTTTGAAATAACTATTTATAATGTACTACCAAATAAAGATGTTTATCTAAAGAAAGACAGTGATATAATGATACATGGAAGGTAGTACTCATTTGTATAGTGTAATTTCCGCCATGATTTTATACACTGAAATTTTATAGATAATTTTTTTTTTTTTTAGTTCTCAAACCCATAAGGGTAATGAATGTGTTAATATTGGCCAAGTGGGAGAATGTTGAACACGTTTATTCATTAAACGTGGTGTGGCCTATATTCTTACACTATTCTAACCACTTACACTGACACAACGTTCCTGGGAAGTTATAACTACGTAGTTTTTGGGAAGTTACGGTGGTTTAATAATAACTGTCATTTTGAATCAAAATAGAAAAGAGGGCTTGTATGATGGATTACTTGCTTTTCGATTTTATTTTTTACAGAATCCTACAGAGGTCCCATGTCTAACAAGTACAGTCTGTGTTTTTTCCATCAAGTACACACATCAAGACTTGTATAGGCGTGAACGTTATTAGGATTTCTCACTTTGTTTTGCAGGCATTAATCAATATGATTTCATGGCTGAAGGTAATGCGATCTCTTTGGACTTGATGGTTTCTTTGACTTTCTTCTTTGTCTTCGACGTCCTCTGATCATTCCAATCACCTTCGTTACAGATCTTAAATCACTATTCTAATTTCCAGATGATATCCATTAATTATTTAGAGTTCTTATGCATCTTTTACGTAAATTAAAACAAGGTTTCATGTAAGAATTTTCAAGAATAAGCAAGAACACATCTAAACGCTTAAATTCAGTTTTAATTCCAATTAAGCATACATAAAGATCAATTTAATCTCTAATTACTCCTGGAATTAACCTAGGCATGCATAGAACATGAATCAAAGGGAAAGAGATAGAAGTAGAACTTGCCTCATAAGGTTTCGGTTTGAAGCCTTTAACTGTCTTCTTCCTAGGTTTTCTGGCGACCTTGGTTGCCGTAGAACCCTCTCTGTTGCTCTTCGTTTTACCCATAAACAAACCCTCTTCCTTCCTCCTTGGTCCGATCTTCAATCTTTGGCCAAAACCCTAGCGTTCTTTCTCAATTTTTCTCTCAAACTCTCTGTCTTTAAAAAGTGGTTCCTCCTTAGTCCGACCTTCAATCCTTGGCCAAAACCCTAGCGTTTTCTCTCAATTTTTCTCTCAAACTCTCTGTCTCTAAAAAGTGGCATGAATATGGTTTATTCCAACCCTTGATAGATGATGAGTACTGAAAAGTGCGCATTTAAACCCGTTAAGCTTAAGCATTCTAGTACCTTTATCTATCTTACTTTGCCGTTTTAGACTTACTACATGTTATTTATATTTTCAGGCACTAATCCCAAAATTGAGCTAACTAAGCCAAATAAGAGCTTAATTGAAGCAATCCTGAGATAAACCAAAGGAGGGAGCAAAGTGGAGAAAGAAAGGAGCAAAAAGGAATCAAGTTGTGCAGCTGAAAAGTTCGATCGATCCAACTTAGAGTTCGATCAATCGAACATCTATGATCGATCACAGTACTTCTCGATAGATCCAACCTTGGCCTTTGCTGAAATTCCAAGTTCGATCGATCTAACATCACCTTCGATCGATCGAACCCTATTTTGTCCTATTCAAATGATTGATCTTATCCACAGCTGTACGCCTACCAACCACTTTTGTCTTTTTCCCCATAAATATCTTGAAAATATCCCAGCCTTGTCATTATCCGGAGGAGTCAGACCACTTCGATCGATCTAAGATGCAGTTCGATCAATCGAACCCATTTTCGATCGATCCAAGTTAAGGTTCGATCGATCGAACTTCCTCCAGCGAGAAAAAGTTAAAGTCCAGCTCATTTATTCCGTCCTTCATCCAATGATTGGAGAATATGCCTTGCACGACCACAGCTCATCATGGGGTATATTTGACCTACCTATATAAGGAATATGATACACTTTTTGAGGGAGTCTCTTGTCACACATTGAAAATTGATCTTAGAGGCTTTTCTTGGAGAGGAGGAAGGAGGGAAGCTAGAGCACCATTGGAGGAGATCTTCACCAACAAGGAGCAGCCATGGAGTTAGACCTTGAGGGTTGAATCATCACTACCATGAGTGGCTAGACATCCTCTTGGGGCTAGAGTTAGCCCCAAGCATGCTTTCTATACTCTAATCTTGTGTATTATTGAGGGATTAGTGTTGTATGATACATCTTGATATTCATGTATATATAAATCTTGATTATTTCATAGTTTGTATGGTTTAATGCTTCCAATTGACTATTCTATTCTATCTATATGTCTATGTATGCTAGAGTAGGATATTCATGTGCTTATCCCTAGATTTAGTGTTTTTGATACATGTCTAGTCTAGATAGCTTTATTTTCATGCTAGTAGTGTAGATTTAGTGTAGTGGTAGTGTAATGTTAGATGGGAGGACAATCTACTCTTGATGTTTGATGTTCCATGCTTGTGAGTCCAAATGGCATATTCCTCTAATATTGTGTTGTATGTGAATTGTGAGCTTAATGAAGGATTAATGACTTGTTTTGATCTATTGTGCTATCCCCATGTTGTCTAGACAATATATGCTCTATTGTTTAGATATATTGTGCTCTTCACATGATGTTTAGACAATACTTGCTTGATTTATCATCCTTGCCAATTGAATCAACCTAATGCACACACACCCTTATCATATTGCAACACATCCATTACCTTCAATTGATCACTTGTTAGTAGTATAGAAAAGTATTGCTTGGTGGTGATCTCTACACCCCAAGACCTCTCTTTCTCTTGTTTACTTCATATTATTTTATTTAGTTGAATTCAATTTAGCTTAATCAACCAACCAATCAATTGTGTGATCACTCGACCTACTAACCCTAATTACCATAGTTTCACAATTCGATACACCATCAAATCCCTTGGGACGATCCCTACTCACCCTTTCTATATTTTATATAAAGAAAGGTAGTAGTGGCTTTCTATAAATGTAAAACTTGGCCACCTCCTAAATTCACAACTCTTCAAGCTTGACTTGGTATCGCGACCCTTGTAAAGGACCGGTCAATAGACCAACCTAAAATGTATATATAGGCGTATAACTAACCCTAATCCTATTCATAACCTAAGCCTAATAAAAAGAGAAGGAAAAAATAAAAGAAAAATAAAAATAAAATATAATACATATTTATGAAGTCTGTATGTAAATATATATATATATATATATATATATATATAAATTTAACTTATACTATATATATATACATAAACTAACTATACTTATTAATATAATTATTTAATATACTAATAAGTGTAATATCCATAAGTATACATATATACCCATATCTGTATGTACCAACATCCATGGGTAAAATATCCGTACCCATTACTCATCATATTCAAGTAGTTCATGTGACCCATGTAATTGATCCATTACTACTATCCAAATCCATCCTTTTAAAAAATATATAAAATAAAATAAAACATAAAGCAATTAAATCATTTAATCCTAACAAATAATTACAATTAAACCACACATCATTTAACACCCAATTAAATCAAATCAATCACTTAAGCAATTAAAACAAATAAGCATATAACATGAAGCAACATAATCACATAGCCACTTAAGCACCTAAAATACAATAAAATAAATAATTAAATCCCTTTTATATCCTTTTGAAAACTAGGGGTATTACAAAAGCTAATTGATGAAATATGCTCCTTGACACTTCTTCTTCTTGTGATCCCTAATTGTAATGTTCTTGTTGACATCTAATCTTGATGTTCCTTAATATTGGAGCTTGATGTTGTAATTTTTTTCCTCTATTTATATAATAGACCTTTATGTTATTGGTCAAAATTTTAAGAGACATCAAATATTATTAAAGTTTGAAAATTTCAAGAGTAACAAAAGTTTTGCATTAAACATAAAAATAATGAACTTTTAATGAAATTTAACATAAAAATTCCAAGAGGTTGTACACATTTTGTAGTCCACTTTTAATGACATTTTTTTAGGTTGAAAATACCAAAGATTATCAACCATTAAAAAAATGAAATGAAATTCAACTAACTAATGTCGACTAATACTTTTTAATGAAATTTGATTTAATTTAAAGTGAAAAAATAGAGAGTTAAGAAATACTTGGCTGGAGATTTTAAGTATCAAAATAAAAATAACACAGTTTTAATAAAATTTAAGGTTGAAAATTCACTTTTAATCGGATTAAAAACATGTTCTTTTGGTTTTTCTCAACTTTTTTTTCATAAAATATTAGGTTATATATAATATATACATTTATAATCTATATTATTAATAAGGCATGATTCATTATGCATTAATCAACTTTTTTTGTTTAACCTTTCTGGAGGCATTTTAAACCATTATATATAGTAGATATATACGTTAATAAAATTTCTAAATTTAAAATAACAAAAAAAAATTGGAAATAGAGAAAATGTCTGAAGATAGGTAGGCATGTGTTTTGAAAACAAAAAATGGTACATTTTTTCCTTTCCCTTTTACGTTTTCTTTTTCTATTTGTTGTGCGTTTTTTTTTTTTTTTAAAAAAAGTTTTTCTGGGAGGAAATTTTTGGGAAGGAACGGGTTTGCTTTTAAATATGATTAATCTCTGAATTCCAATAGTCACATATGATT